TAAATACGTTTGGGGAGTTGAATGACGGCAATCGCCCCCAGCCCGCCAGCACATGGGCGACCAATGGTCGATTGTGTCTCCAGAAAGCTGACCTCACTCAGCTTGGAGACCCCCGATGGGGCTGGCTTTGTCCACTTCAATCTTTTGTTGTTTCTGTCTGTGAAAACTATGCCGAAAATGTGTGAATTATGCAGTGTATAGCCTGTAGCTATCCTATGACTGCCTACAGGTTCTGGCCAAGAGCGACCATTGACCCCCAGCTCCAGCAGTCTTGGTCCTGTCAAGGCCTGCGGCGTCTCGCAGCTGTAAATGCGCTAATTGCTGCGTTTTGTTAGTTTTGGATGTATTATATGGGCTATTTACAACTTCTTGCCTCCATTCCTGTGAGTTCCTCGCCGGCGAGTGGCACAATCCAGTACCTGGTTGACGGCTGCCTTGAGTGCGAGTTGCTTATTCAAACTAGAGATAGAGCCATTAAGCCCAACATATCGCCTGCAGGATTCTCATCATGCATCCGCCTTCAGTTATGCAGGTTGCTTCCGGTCCTCCGCCCGGTACGCACGCGTTCGACAGACATTTATCCCCTCTCAGCAACGCTTTGGGCAAGTATGCGGATCCCAAAACGGCGAGAGCTGGACGGCATCCCTCCAGCACGTGTCGAATATGTGCTGGACTGTTATCCGTGCTGGCAGTTGTGGCAGTCACGCTGAAGTTCTTCCGCTTTTGCTACGACTTGGGAGGCCGGGGTGATTTGTCGCGACGGTTGGCAGGTAGAGAGCCTGCACCGGAGGAAGACCTCGACCTCTCAACCATTATTGAGATGTGTTTGGATATGGAGGAGGAGATCAGTGTCGGCCCGCAAACTCCAGCCGTTCCGCCAGAGGGACAGTGGGAGCAGCATTCGTCATGGCAATTGCTTACACCCTATCAGCAAAGCCAGCAGACAATCCCAGCGGTTCCATCCTCCGCAGAGTGGGGAAGTTTCCAGCAATCAGAGGGAGGACAGTTCTTCGAGCCTACCCCGATTTCGCTTGTGCAGGGAGATTATGACCAGGGTTGGCCGCACTCTGTTGAGGAAGCTCATCAAATGCCCCTTGAAGGGCCTTCCGAATTGTGGCAGGGCTCTTCAGTGTTGCCACCCTACAGTGGTAGCCCGTTCACCACGGCGAGTGAGGGATCTACATCCACTGCACCTCCATGGCCTACGAGCGCGCCTTCCCAATTTCAGAACCTGGGCCTAGGTAGCTCTTTCGCAGCCAGCGATGAGCATGTAGTCCCAGGCTTACCAACAGCCATGGAATTGCCGAATCCAGTACACTTTGGGGGTGTATCATCAAGTCAGCAAATGAATATCCAGGCTAGCCCAGACCGCACCCATCTTGTATCTCTGCAGGCAGATGTTAGGCAAGAGGGAGCCTCTGAGGGCGGAAGATTCCATCACCCACATACTCTGGAGGTTCCCCACGTTTTTCAGAGCCACGTAACATCGCCAATCGGGCCAACGTTTGGAGAATATAATCCCAGTGCTTACGCTGGACTCTCTAGTGCATTTTTGCCCGAGGGGCAGAGCAGCGCAAGCGTAAATCAACAGGTCACTGCTGCCGCAGGAGTGCAGAACCCCTCGTCTTCAACTTCTCTGCAAACTCCAGTGGATGAAGGAACCGATCAGCATGNGCAGGAGTGCAGAACCCCTCGTCTTCAACTTCTCTGCAAACTCCAGTGGATGAAGGAACCGATCAGCATGCAGATGGCCCCCTTTCAATACCTCCTGCTGACCCCAGAGCGTTCCGGTCCCATCATCCCTTTTATAAACTTCCCGAGGTGAACACGGAGATAGCTCTGAGTGCGTTAGAGTTTTCGGCAAACGAAGCCTTTTCAGGGAGGTCAAATATTAACGTACCTAGCGTCGTGCTGCGAAATTTGCACAACTGCTTGGCAAAAGACAAGCTAACTTTATTTGAAGCAAACGATATTGTTAGGAGTGCTCAGCGGCTGGCAGGTCATCTATATTTTTGCCATAAGGACTCAGTAGCAAAAAGTACCCCAGCTGAAGCTGTGGCCATCTTGGGTAGAAGATACATAATGCTGGAGCTGCTGCTTTGCGCAGTTCAAGTTCTAGGGCCGGCGATGAATGCTTCTGCATGGTGGAAGGAACTTGCTAGCGCGATTCCATCAGAGGTGACGGTGACCCCTTCCCATTACGTTTCGAAGCGCTGCAAGCCCTTCGCACATCTTGCGACGCGACTCAGTTCAGCGATAGGCTTACTGAAGCAGGGCATTCGACCAAACGAAGAGGAAACGATCGCACTGAAGCAGGCACTGTTTTGCAACAAGCAAACCCATTCAGAGTTCAGGATGCCGCGGTGGAACCTTTGGAGACAGGATGACAAAAAGGCAGGAAGTGGCCAACATGGGTAAAGGTGCACGTATGCAACCCGTTCTGCTGGCGACTACTTTTGCAGCTGCGCGGAAGCGTCGGTTTTCTCGGGTGCCCACTGGATGTGAGCAGGTTGGAGCGGATTATTAGCATCAAGGCGGGAGTATATTCGATTGGTCTTTGACTCACAGAATCGGGGTGAACCAGCTGCCAGTAAGCGCGTCATAAGAGCTGTTTNGTCATATAAATATTACCGGTGTACCGCATACCTCTTTTCTGGAGAGGTTGCTGAATAAGTGACATATGGGGACTGAGCGCTCGGATGCCGTGTTCAGAGTGGCATCTCTCTGGTAGCCAGATAGCTATAGAGGTGTCCATCTCACGAATATTTTGCTTAAGCTCGTCTGTATATCACAGCAAAGCGAGCGATGTGGTTACAGCCCCCGTTGCACTTGTTGTCGTGCTGATTTGCGTATTGACGCTACTTGCGTCGTCGCTTCCGTATATAAAGGCGCTGGTGCGCAGTCTGCGTCACCATCGCCGCCGGTCACCGTCCAGTCGAGGTGTAATTAAGGTGAATTTCAGTGCTGCATCCCATATGATTTTCACACTTTCGTATTTGCCAGCCCTGTGTCGACCGTAGCTGTCGCCAACAAATAGCTAGGTCGCTTTTCATTTTTGCCAGCTCTGGGCCACTGCTCGGTTCCTACGCTGAGCGGTTGGTTCCGGGGCTTTCATATAACCTGTGCGTTTTTATTCGGAACAATGGACTGTACAACAAGCACAGGCAGGCCTGTTTGGTTGTAGCGACGCAGTAGTTTTAGTTGAAGTGATCCACGCTGTCCAAATGCCCATCGAAACAGAGGCAGATACGGTTGCCAAACAATTTGCGAAGTGCTTCTGGCCTGTAGGGAGAATTGAGTATTTGAAGTTGCTGTTGACTACAATGCGCTTCCAACTCTTCTCGGGTAGCTTATGATCTCTCATAATCTCCCGCTCACGGTCTGCGACCAGTCGCAGGGGGATTGCTTACTAGCCGCAGCAAGCGACAAGCGTTCGGCTCGGGCAAAACTATGCATTATATGGCTGGTTGGTGCGCTTCGAGTTGGGGCATGTGGTTTGGATACGTTGGAATGTGCCTCTGTAGCAGTTGTTTGGATACGTTGGGATGTGCCTCCGTAGCAGTTCAGACGGACGACTTGATAACTGTTACTGCCGTTAGCCTGTAGCCTCTCAACCTGCTGTAAGCAGACATGCGATTGGACTCCACAAACCAGAGTCCAGAAACTGTCCCCGATGGAGATGCCATTGCTCTGAAATCATTTGTGAGGACACTATTTACAGACAATTCGTTTCGCTGACGCACATACCACTGGGAGCTGAAATCGCTCCTCATGCGACTTTAGTTCCCAGTGGTCTGTGCGTCTATATACCGACACTGTGAAGAGATTATATGCTGCCACAGTCAACTCTCAATGTTCTTGTTGTTTGTCGTGGGCGCTTGCCTCATCCAGAAATGTTTGAACTTTCTCAATACTTCTATCATATGGTTAGGCCTGAAGAACACAGATGCTTCGGCTATTGCTCCCTGCACTTTTCTAGCCATGTTCATCCATTCATTTGTTCGCTTAAGACAATTGTTAGGAGGCTTGTTCAGCTGTCCCAAGAGGGCGTCGAATGTTATCCGGGTAGCAAATAAAGTAGTACGAGAGCTGCAACTGCAAGGGAANGTCCCAAGAGGGCGTCGAATGTTATCCGGGTAGCAAATAAAGTAGTACGAGAGCTGCAACTGCAAGGGAAATTGAGGACCAATGACAACACGGAACTCGGAGCAGTCGCGGAGTATAGTCGGCGTGGTTACCATGTTAATGGCATCAGGAACACTCTGGTGCACTGCACCTGCTAAGGCCGGAGCAACCGGCAGGTTTAATGGTTGCGCAGAAGGACCGCAGAAGCCAAATTCCTTGTGAGTTGGGCATGGACCTGAACAGCAAAATAGCTGACTGGCACATTGCTGGGACGTTCCTGTTGCATATCCATTACAATGGCCAACAGTAACCATTGACTGGTTCGGCGGACCTTTTGAGACGAGACTTGTGGCGAGTATCGTCTTCTGCTGTTCAGAGTTTCTCTTGCATTGCTTTGGCCAGGTAACCCTGTCAACGTTCCAATTCTAATCTTTGCGAAAACTTGCTCTGAGATGTTGAGAAAGCTAGAAAGCCCGTTTAGTGGAAAGCCAAGACACTCTGTCGCACGGCGTGTGATGCCGAAGGGATCATGCCATTCGCATACCTAGCTCCACCGCTTTGAGAGACATGATTAAGAAACGACAGAGCATTAAACACCGCACTAACAATAATTCCCCATTTGTGAACGTTTCCCTTGCTCCTCCCTTCACCGTTCGGCTAGTGCCAGCCGAGAGCATGTGCTGTTCTGAAGTGTCCCTCAAATGAAGCATCCAGACAATTGAATGGCCTCCCGGAGGGGCGCTGCACTTGTTCATGTACTGATGGGTACCGGAAAATTCTCAAAACCGCAGCGACGAATGCTGGTCCCACGTTCCGGTCGAGCAGCACGATCCTCCTCCATCGACTTGGTTTGGTGTATTGCGTCTCCGCATGTATCGCTCTGTATTGCTCCAAAATAATAAAGAAAGTTTCGAATATAACCACAATCTGCATATATATGGTCAGCTGTAGCATCTGCCTGCTGAGGATCCATATTACGTTTCCTCTGCATACTGTGCCCGCGAGCCTCCGGCAGGGGGACACCGAATAGGTAGGTAACCGCTAAAACCGAATTGAGGTGTCTGTTTCGTG